GCATTCTTGTAGTGTGACTAAAAAAACAAGAAATTGGTCGCAAAAATAGTGGCGACCAATTCATTGGTTTTGTAGTCACACTACAGGAATGCGCCTACACGGTGCCCTGAGGATGGCATAATCACATGCAGAGTCAAGGCAGAAACATTTATTCTTGCTCTTACAACGATGAACTTCAAAAAAATCGCAAGGTTGCCTTGCATTGAGAGACAGCCGCAAAATGCTTCTGGTTATATATGCTTATTTGCGCCATCGCCCTAACTTACTGCAACACAGTAGGGTGACACGACGCTGTCCCCAAGTACATTATGGGAACGTGGCTCTTGAAAATACGACTGAACCCAGGATGCTATTCGCTGGGACTGTGAGTAACATAACAAGCGGTCATCGCCCAGCGCAATTCTCTATGTAGATACACTTCTGCGTGTGTTAGACTTGGGTTCCGCGCCCAACTTGGACGATCGCACTTTGACTGTACCTTGATCTCAAATTTGCTCAGCTTACTGATGTCAAAGAATGAAATCATTCTTCCAAGTGGAAATTGCTGAGAAAAAACTCGCAAACTAAATGAAACTCCAAGAATATACTTCCAGCAAACCTTATTGTTAGCTACACCTCCAGAGCAAAAGAAATGGGTATATTCTCGTATGTTCGCACGCATTTGTTCGATAATCTGGGCAGCGATTGCAAGGCGAAGCTGAAAATGAAGGTTGAAATGGTAAACAATGAACGAAGTACTTTCATATTACTCGACCCCTTGGAAAGAAAGGCACTATTTAGCCTTTACTGCCCCACTCCTCAAAAACTGAGCCGCATTTTGATCTTAAAACTTTTTAAGACTGAGGATTTGGGGGTGTTTCAACCCGTAGAACCCGAACATCACACCAGTTTGGCATTAAAACGCTTGGCGCCCGCGCCACAGGCGCGCTGGCGCTATCACAACAGTTTTGCCGCACGTGTAGCGCAGGCTACAGGCTCACTCGCAACGAACTAATGTGATATTCATGTTCTACGGGTCAAAATACCTCTGAGACAAGTTTCCAGCGAATTTGGTGATCCGAGATGTTCTGGCGCCTTTTGGCGCCGGCACTTCTGGCGCGGCGCCAGGCGTTTCACGCTGAACAAATGTGATATTCGTATTCTATGGGTGAAATTACTGCCGGGGGCAGCTTTCTAGCGAAATGCTCAGTCAGGGAAAAATTTCGATAAAAATTTTGAAGTGGGGCAGTAAAGGGTAAATAGTGCCAAAAGGAAAAATAGCTTCCACAAACATGGCTGATCTCCTTGGCACATTGAGTACTGAGCCAGTTTTGAAGACTTTTCTCACGATCATATGTTTCGTCGCCTCCTCTATCACACCTACATGCGAGATTGTCCTAGAAAAGCATGGAATATCTCATCCTGTACCGCTGAAAGACAGGAAAGATTAATATTGTTAAGAAACACCTCAAAATTGTGAATCGTTTTATGGCAGCAGTAGATTGAACACCTGGTGTGGTTCCTCCTCCGATCAAGGACGGCATCGGCAACTAGGCTAGTCCAAAAGTCCCGCAACGTATGGAAGGTTCGCGTTGCAACATTGAATGTTGGCACATTGACAGGTCGCTCGTGCGAGTTGGTAGAAGCACTGGAGCGAAGAAGAATTGATTTCTGTGCCGTGCAGGAAACGAGGTGGTCCTGCTGTAAGTCGAGGGACATTGGCCGCGGCTTTAAAGTCGTTCTCTGTGGCAGTCCCAGGACAACCAGCGGCGTCGGTGTGGTTGTCTCTGAACGTTTCGATCAATGCGAATTCGACACGTTACGATGACCGTTTGAAATTTGTGCTTAACACAGCAATACCGACATCTTTTTCTGCTACATCTCCAGACTGGCGGCTTCACAAAGGCCAAGGACATTTGGCCCTTTGAGAATATCCGCGGAAGTCCATCGGGATCGCTATCAGTCCAGGTGACGTAATGGCCCACGTTGATCTGCGAAGAATGTTATATTCTCCACGGTGTTTGTTATGGGTCACGAAACGCCGATGGTGAGCGAATTCTTGAATATGCAAGCTCTCACAATCTCACCATCGTGAACACAAACTATCGTAAACGTGACTCACACCTCATCACGTTCTACAGCGGTAATACCAGAACTCAGATTGATTTCGTTCTTGTCAGGCAACGTGATCGAGGGCTAGTGACGGACGCGAAGACAGTGCCGTACGAGACAGTCGCTACGCAACATCGACCACTGATTTGCACATTAAAGATTGCCCCTCCAACCAAGAAAGCCGAACGGTGTGCTCAAGATCAAGTGGACATTGAAAGAAAAGAACCGCTCAGTTGATCATCGCATTCGCTACTTGCCAAACTACCGTCGAAGAAGCATTGACAGTCCACATAACAATAAATCCATGTTGGCCGCTCCGACTGCAATAAAGCGCTGGACTTCGTCGAAAATCACCAGCATAACATGCTTTCCGAACACTGTCAAAAAAACAAAAAAAAAAAACAAAAAATTTTTTTTTTTTTTTTTTTTTTTTTTTTTTTTTTTTTTTTTTTTTTTTTTTTTTTTTTTTTTTTTTTTTTTTTTTTTTTTTTTTTTTTTTTTTTTTTTTTTTTTTTTTTTTTTAAAAAAAAGCGCTAATATAAAAAATATCAAAATATGAAAAAGCAAAAAAAGCTTGGCTGTGCTAAGCATTTCTCTCGGATGCTTATCAGAGAATCGAACGCGCGACGGAAGCTATAATCCTCAGCTGCAAACTCAAACAACCGGGGGCGATCATCGAGAAGTCTCTGGTATCAATGACGAAAGGACTGACCGAATAGACCGGGGGCAAACGTGCACGAGCACGACTACTTCAGAGAAAATCTCGACAGTGGAATTCTCACACCCGCCAATACCTTCTGCTCCTCCGGTCCACGGCCCTGTCTCGAAGATAACTGTGAGCGAAACAGAGGCGGCTTTGAAGAAGATGAAGACAGGTAAAGCAACGGGTCCCGACGACTTGGCGGCCGATCTGTGGAATTCACAGTGCTGGAATCCAGCAGTGGCTGACGAACTTCTTCAACCAAGTCGTCGCAGAAAAGAAAGTGGGGAGAGTGGCAACAGAGTACGACGATCCCGATTTGGAAGAAAAAGGGGAGTCCTGCAGATTGCACGAGCTACCGACCAATTCGTCTGCTCTCCCACAGCATGAAGGTATTCGAACGAATTGTTGTAGATCGCCGTATTCGTGACATAGTCCAGCTTACCGTGAACCAATGCGGCTTCGTGACTGGCTGCGGCACCATTGATGCCATACACGCCGCTCGTCTTCTGCTAGAAAAACACCGTGAAACAAAAGCCGGTGCATTTTGCCTTTCTAGACTAATAACTTAAGAACAGCATACATTAATCAATTTGTGGACAGCGCAATAAATGTGACATGATAAATAAAGAAATTATATTATATCAAATACCACAAATTTGAAAATCAATACATACATAGATAATAATGCAAATTGCGGTAGTGAAAATGTAATCTATTGTCTTAGCTGTTTAGAATGCGGATATCAATATGTAGGCCTGACTACTAGAAAACTCAAAGAAAGAATGACGGAACATATGTACCATATACAAAAGAATGATCCAAATAAATACGTATATAAACACTTTCACGATAAATGTAAGAAAAAGCTTATTTCTTTCACTATACTTGATAATTTACAAGAAAATACAGACAAGATTATTTTACAAAACAAAGAAGCATTTTGGATTAAACTATTAGTAACAGCCTTCCCATTCGGAAATAATGACTGTATAAAAACGTATGGCAACATATCCAATATCATTAATCCGCTCAGTTATAAAGCTGAACACCCGTATTTCTCACTCAGAATCCTCAAGAAAAGAAACAGAAAAGGTAAGAGAACCAGAACAAATAAGAAAAATGACACCTTAATAGCAATTAATAGATTCAAAGAAGTATTAGATAACACATCTGATTTCAAAATATTTAAAAAGATTGATACTCATACTCAACGCTATTACTCAAATAATACATTTATGCTATTCAGACTCATTTTTCACAAATATGCAAGAGGAAAAGAAGTTCATACTTTTATGTCTATTATGCAAATTTTACTTCAAATCACCTAACTTAAACATAATAAAAAACAGTGATAGAACCTATTGCAATTTGCCCACTTACTATATAAATAATATTTTAGATTATGTCAATATAAATAAAATAATGAACTCCGAAACCATAACGCGATTAATTCAAAGCAACTCTTCAGTTAAATATATACCTTTTAGAATTGTATATAAATATGACAACCCAGTGTCACAATCACTTTTCAATTACAATGAAACACTCAAACACATTACAAATAACGAAGTGGTCAGAATTCTGGACTCTCAATGCATTTGCGAATCCAAGCAATACGAGAAATATATAGATAAATCTCATAAACATATAATAACAGGAAATACTGAAATTATTAACAACAAATATATCAGAAACCTGCTAGACAAAGGATGTAAATACAGAACTCCCACGAACGTATCAAAAAGATCCATAAGAAGTTGGATAGAGGAAACAACTAACACTTATGTAGACATAGTAAAAAACAGATATAAACTAAGTGAATCCATATTAAGGGAAATACATGACAATATCAAATCGAGAATACAAAAGACGTTGAAACCTAAGCTCTATTCACAATGGCTTAACAACACCAACATGTGTAACAAACACATCACAAAAGAGATTAAAAAGCTTCACGAATCTTTTATAATTTGCCCTCTAGACAAAGCAAGCGGTAATTATGGAATTATATGCAAAAAACTATACATTAATAGCATTATAAGTGAAATGGGTATCGAGTGCAACAACCTACAACTGAATATCAACAACACTAATAATACATACACTTATATAAACTCAACAACCCAAAACGACATAATTGAAAAACACAAGAGTTTCAATAACAATAACAACATTAAAAACTTGTCTAATATGAATGTACCAATAATTTACGCCATACCTAAATTACATAAATCACCTATCAAATTCCGATTTATAACAGGTGCCAAAAATAGTAGCCTAAAACCATTATCTATCGAACTCACGAAACTTTTAACTTTCATACGAACGCACTTTCTTAACTACAACAATACTATTAAGAACAGAAACACTCAATTCATAGGCTATTGGGCAATCAATAACATAAACATTAGCGAACAACTCCAAAACATACGCATGGATAACATGAAACTTTTTTCGGCGGACTTTACGAATATGTTCACCAACCTACCACATTCTCATATTATAAAAAATGTTAGAGAAATATTAAAAATATGTTACAAAAATAGCAACAAAAAGTACATTGCACACAATGAACGGAAAACTTTTTACACTAATAACACATCTTATAAGAACTTCAATTATTACACAATTTCAGATATAGTCTACCTTTTGGATTATCTTTTGAAAAACAGCTATTGTAAATTTGCAGAACACCTCTTTGTACAGAAAACGGGAGTACCACAAGGTAGCAATGTTAGCCCTCTATTAGCTGATCTCACATTATCATACTTTGAATATATCTATTCACTTACTCATAACAGTACAAAAAACCTACAATTTAGACCTTTCAGATATATGGATGATATCCTTGTAGTACACAATCTAGATACACAAACTGTTCTAGATAAACTGAACCAAATATACGAAAATATTTTTGAAATTGGAAGTTACACACACTGACGAATATAGATGTAATTATTTAGATCTAGAAATCAATATAGATCTAAATAAAATACAGACAAAAATGTATAATAAGACGGACTATTTCAACTTCAACATAAAACGCTTTCCAAACTCAACAACAAATATTTCGTGTCACATTAAACACAATACGATTTATTCCGAAATTTTAAGAATAGCTCGAACATGCTCCAATAAAAAGGATTTCATAAGTAGGTTAAAATATACTAGAAACCAATTAAACGAATCTGGATATAGTACAGATATCTTTATTATCAATCTGATAAAGTGCTCTGCTAAAAACACTTTTATAAAATATAAATATGAACTAAAAATGGACGATTTACTAGAGTTTCTTCGAAAACTTGATGACCCTTGAAAAGGAAATGAATATGCATCGGTAGAGAATGATAAACAATGATAAAACTTTCACACGTTATATCAAGACTAGCCTCTCATTTTATATCTATCTACTATTCGAGGAGGCAGGACAAGAGGTGAGTTCAATTTTCTATACAAATTCATTGAATAGTAAACAAACTCTTTCACTTTTTCATGAAAAACTGTAATTATATGTTAGATAAATCTAATTAGCTATAAAAAACTTTAATTTGTATTAAACCTTAATTAACTCAAATACTAATAATTCATTCACGCTAACAACTTTTGAAAATTTTATTTAATAAATACTACAATAATGTAAATCAAATTCTTTATACCTCTCCTCCCTTACTGATGAGCACAGGGAGAGGATACTCTTTCGTTTAGTCTCCGTCTAAGGGCACGTGCGAAACGGAGACTAAACTACTCTTTGAATCCCACCCCCTAAATAAATTTTGAATAAAACATATAAAAATATTGAGATCGAAAAATAAAAACAAAAACAGTTTAATTTTACAAATACAAAAGTTTTATAAAGCCATACATTTATTGAAAAGGCTTTTGATCGCGTTCCACGTGAAGTAATATGGTACGCCTTACGACAACATGGCGTCCCCGAAGAGCTTATCGAGTGGGTTCGCATGCTTTACTCAAGCCCAAAGAGCCGAGTGCAAACGTCAGCTGGCGTTTCGACAGAATTCCCCATCTCTGTTGGGGTACATCAGGGCTC